GAAGCTTTAATCAAGGCGTTATCTGCGCTGGTTGAAGCGGTTCACTAAGTACACGCCAAATTTCACGTTTCGCCACGAGGGAGTTCGGTCTAAACAACGAGAGCCTCACGAGGGTTTTACACTTGAATTACTTCTCAGGCTCCGGTGGATGCAGATGCCTCTGCCCTCCCTGTACCCGCTCATCAATAAAAGGTATTTTCATATTTGCTGGGAGCTGATTCCTCCGGGGACGACCTCGCCTCAGGCTGACATTTACAAACCTCTCTGATTTGATGCTTTAACACCTCGATCCCTTTCCATTATAGCCCAGCCTTACAGTATCGATCACTACTGTTTAATTTGTAAGCGCTCCCCTGGTATTTCAGCAAGAAACAGCTTTCACTATTTTGGTCCACATCGACTGATTAAATCATACAAGTGAGAACCCCGTCTCCTTTGGACCGAGCTAGTTCCTACTGTTTGAGGAAGGGGACCAGGTGGCTGAAAATGGTTCATGTCTCCGGGGTGGTGTGTGTGAGAGAGAGAGAGGGAGAGGGGGGTTTGTAGGACAGCAATATCCTACTTTCAATGCCCCAGTTAGGAAAAAATGAAAAATCACCAGAGGGAGTTGGCATCCACTTGTTTCTCTCTTTTTTTTTCCTCTTTTCTTCTGAGTCTAAACCATACGCGGTTTAAAATAATCCAACGGGGCATTCGGGGTGTTTTTGGAGGTGTCCTTCTGTTTTTCTTTCTAATTCATGGAGCTCAGATGAAATGCAATGCAATGAGGATTTCATTCGTTAAAGTGTTGCTCTTCTACGACTTCATTATAGTGGAAGTAGCCGCTTATTGTTGCAGATGAACGCTGTGTGCCATCTGTAGGTGTGAATGAAAGCAAACAGAGTTGAGTGCTCTCTGTGATAACTTTAATTCTGTCCACTGATGAGCTCTTTAGCTTTGATAAGAGTTATAGGTGTTAAAAGTCTGAGTTTTCCTGTTATTCACCTTTACGTTTCATGTCGTTGTTAAAATCTTTAGGCTTTTATGTCTGAATTACTATAGTGTGGTGCAGGGACTGGGGCCTTTCGGTGTAGAGGGTTCTCCTGCCTCCCACAGTGCAAACGCATGCATGTTACTGTAGGTTAACTGGTGATTTTGACTGGCCATAGGCATGAAAGTAAGCATGAATGGCTGTCTCTGCGTGTTATCTCTGTGATGGGCTGGTGACCTGTCCAGAGTGCATCCTATCTCTTGCCCTGGCACAGCTGGGATTGGCTTCCGCAGCCCTGCTTATCCCTAAATTGGATAAGCCGATAAGAAAATAGATGGATGGTCCAAACTGAGTGCATCATCAAAACGTTCTGACGAATGCTAGAATAAGTCCTTTTAATGTTTTTAGCTGTGCTTCAGTTATTTTGGTTGTGTTTTACCTTAATCCAGACTGTAAAATTCAGTGGGATGGGTAACCATGTTTACATTTATTCTAATGTCTATGCAGATACTATATTAGAGCCACACTTTGGTTAATATTTATAGCTTGTCGTAGCAATAGTCATCAATGATTTGGATACAATTTGGCATAGCTATTCCCTTAGGATGGAGTGTCATAACTTTAGTGATCGCAGTGACATCATCAGGTCAGAAATCAGTTTATTTAGCTGAATATTAAATACCTCAAAGACTAATCAGCACATGATAAACATGGTAAACATTACATTTAATATCAAGTGCTAACTCTGCACGTTAGCATGCTATTCTGCTATTTGATCTCATAGATAGCAGTGTGTCCACAGATTCTTGCTTAGCTGTATTAAATAATGTTATATCAGCTGTGATCAAGCCATAACCTCCACCTTAGACTGTGTGTATGTGTATTTCAGCTCTTAGACTGAATGGCATGGTGCAAAAATGTGTAACTTTACTGCTCAGGGCTTCCTTTTCAGTGCATAGAAAGCAGTGCTGCTGTTTGTGTTTGCCCACCAAAGCTATTTCTGGATTGTACACATGGTGACGTGCCAGCCAGCGTGCGAATTCGTCTTTGTGGCATTTTGTCCTCTTCCACAGCACTCTTATGAAGCCAAGGCAGACGGAGGAAGAGGCGGATTGTGTTGGAGAAAAGCTGCACAGGATATAGTGTTAAACTAGGCTGGATGGGCCGGCTGGTGCCTTTCTGTGTGGAGTTTTCGTGCTCTCTCTGTGCCTGCAAAGATGTCGAAAAACATCCATGTAAGGTTAATTTTAAGCTGGTCAGAGGTGTGTTTGTGAGCATGAATGGCTGACCAAGGTGTTCCCTACATCTCAACCAATCTGAGAAACCCAACCAAACATGAGGTCCCTCTGATCTGCATTTCACATTGTCTTTGTTCTCATTATAGTTCAATTGTTTTAAGTAGACCAGGGAAAAATAATTTGAATGAAACCAGTAATAGTCTGGACCAAATAAAAGCTTTTTAAAACGTTGTCCTACATACACAACATTTCCATTGGTGTGTTTTGTAAGGTGGCTGACCTTGAAGCCCACGGCCCCAGTGATCTGTTGAAGGATGAGCTGACCCAGTCCCTGGAGGAGCTGGAGGCCTTGCTGAAGGCTAAAGATGAGGTTGGATATTTGCTAAATAACAAGGAATGACATGACACATCAACAAAAACATACAAAATCTGACTTTTTGATGAGTACCTTTCATTCATTCTCTAGGAAATTCACATTTTGCAAAGCAAAAAAGCAGAGTACCACGAAATGGAGCATCAGCGTGACGAGGCCATCCACAGATTACGGGTAGGAGTGACGTTTTTACAGTAACTCGGCATGTTTTCATTGCTCATCGGGTTCTGGTAAACCTTCTAATATTTCCCTCTGCCTTTTCTGTGTTTACCGTTCACTTCAGGAGACGGAGATGCGAAACTCAGACCTGGAACGTCGCATCCAGAACACGGAGCAGAACCTGAGTAACTCTCTGGAGGACCGGGATCGCTTGGATACTGAGATCCAGAGAGCCATAGAAATTCTGGACATCAAGATCTTTGACCTTAACGACCTCCGCCAGAGCCTTGTTAAACTTATTGACAAATAGGAAGGGTGGGTGAAACACGGCAGAGTGCAACCTGTAAGAGAAATGGAAGAGAGGACAGGGGTTCCGGCAGGAAGCAGTAAACAAAATAAGAAGGAGCTGGTCCCGGTCCTCTTCAAGCACAAAACCCACCTCGGCTGCAGGAAGGTCTGTGTCACAGCAGTGACGGCAACATCGCGCAGGCGCTGACTCTGAGCAGCAGCATATATATGGTAGAGCTTGTCCCGACTTAACGTAACGCTTCATGTTGCTTTCGAGGGTAACACTCAGTGCAATAAACCAACTTATAAGGTAAGTGCTTAACAATGCTAGTCATTTAGGATTTAGAACTGGTGCTTCGGGTCTTTCATAAGGATCACCTTTGTACCCAAAATCACAATGCAGTGTCAATATGAACAATAAGAGGCCTTGTTTTTCATCTTTACAACAAAATGAGTCCATGCTTAGAAACAGAGGAGCTGAAAAGTGAATGCACAAGACAAAAAAAAAAAGAAGTTTAGCTTATTTAAGAGCCTGCATACGCCATAATTATTACTGGGTTAACAGTTCACGCAGGTCTTGTAGTTACCCATACGTAATCTAGCAGCTATATTGTGTAATGTGAAGGACCAGTGTTAGTTTTTCAAAAGGAATATTCAAGGATAGCGAAGGCGTGTGCTCGTAGTTGTCGATAATGTGGTTAATCTAGGACGTGCAACTTGAATAGCAACAGCATCTAAACATTGACACCAAAGATCAAATGTTAAGAGCAGAGGGGGGGGAAGAGTTTTCCGTGGCTTGTCTTTTATCACATCTTCATTTCTTGTATTAGGAAACTTTTGATTCCTGAGTAAGCTACTTAGGTACATGGTAGTAAGTAGGAAATATTAAGCAATTAAAGTTAGCATAACAATGGTTTTTTCAAATGATATAAATCAATAAGCTGCACTTAAGAAGTACCCATAGGAAATTAAAATGCATCACTTAGTCTTACAGGTAAATATAAGTGACTTTTGAGCTTGTCCAGTCTGAATGATATGCTGTGCATCATCTACTAACAGAGCACTAACTTAGTAACTTATTTACAATAGCTCCACATCTTAATGAACACGTTTCTCTCATTGGTGTGATGCATCTGAAGAAATGTAAGAGGTTTTCTGCCTTCTGTTACTTTTGAGCACATTAACTTTAGCTGTGGACAGTATGCCATAGGCCTTGAGATTGTGGCCGTACTGTATGAATAATTAAATACATAAAAAGAAAAGAAAAGAAAAACTGAATGTCTACTTCAGAGTCTTTTCATCACACAGACTGTATCATAAGACATTTTTTAAGCCTTACTGTACTGAGGATGAATGTGAACAGTGATGTCGGCTCTCTGGGCCGCGTCATGGTGGTTTGAAAATAAAAGCAAACATTATAATCACTTTATGCAGCATTTCGTCTTTTTCTTTCTTGGGTTTGTTTGTTTTTCTTTGGGGAATATTGCATAGAAAATACTTGGACACTGAAAAAAATGCTTGTATGAAAGAATGAGATGTTTTGGAAGTGCTCTGAGTACCTAAGTATAAGAACCAGTCCATTTACCATCATTTGCAGGTGCGACTAACTGACTCAAAACCCAAACTCAAAATGTAATACTATTACCTACATTCAATAACGCTTTGTTACTTTTTTAAAAAAAATTATAAATTCAATCCAGTAATATTATTTCAAAATAAAAATTAAAAACACAGGGTTGGTGTGTTGTTGGTTTACTCTATAGACTAGAAATAAATCTGATGTGCTTTTGAAAAATATACTGGCCAACTTTATAATCTATTTTTTTCTTTTATTCATTCAGCTCATATTCACACCCTGATTAAGCTGAACTTTGGAAAAAATGTAAATATGGCACTAAATGTGTTACGATCACGTTTTCTTCAATTTTGATGTTTAATACATTTCAAAATAAGAGGTTAAAAAAAAGTTTTCTTCAGTATTAAAAGAGTTTTATTCAATCTGATGGAACATTTTTAACGGCTCAGTAGTCAGTGGCCCACACTGATTACAGAATCCTCCGTCTGATGTTGCGGGTGTGTCCACACTTGATGGCACGTGGATGCAGACGAGCATAGCACCTAAGACGGATGACAGAAATGTTTAGATTAGTGAGATGAAGTGATGACCTCGCTCACTGTTTCTGGAATCTGTAGATCGCTGCTTTACTGAGGGCTGTGATATGTATCTGCTAACACTCAACTTGGAGCCAAAGCTCTGGGAGAGCTTACTCCCAGTCAACCTAAAATGTGCCACTGAATTTGATTCTGCCAACTGCTCTTTGAAAGAGGAAAATTATTTAATCAGCCACTCAGTAATTATTTAGCCTTGCTAATAACGCATTTTTTTCCTAAAATCAAACTTCATGTGCATAAGGAGCAACTAAAGTTTTTACTTCTTCAGACCTTTCCCATGTACCTCCCTGCAAAAAGATGAAATCAAGTGGAATCAGTTTTTAGCAATCCGCTCAAAACATTTTGATATTTTTATATCTTTTGAATTATCCCCTCACCTCTCTGAGAATGAGTTCAGTTTCGCTAATATTTGTGTGTGCTGGTTTTGTATACGTACTTGCGGCAGATTATCCTGTCACAGTTGTACTTCTGAGCCAGCTGCTTCAGTGATGGCTCAATGATGCCCCCTCTCAGACGCAGGACAAGGTGAGGGTTGGAATCTGAGAGAAAGACATGGGTATATAACCATCAATGCAACTTTAAAACATTAAACAGACAGCAGTTTTCTTCCATCGTGGTGAAATCCACCTTTTTGGATGTTATATTCTGACAGGGTGAGTCCATCCTCAAGCTGTTTCCCAGCAAAGAGCGTAAGACAGTAACTTAATGGTTACAGCTGCTGTGGGCATGTACTACTACATACAGAGCTTTGTTAGTTACACCAATCCAGTTATAAAGCAAGATGAATGTAGTAATACTGCACACTGAGTTCAATTCCCAGACAAAAATGATCGTTTCAGAAGTTAAGGAGAAAAAAGTTTATAAGCTTTCTGTTCACCAGCCGCTCAAACTCAGTGAGCAGAGTGCTGTGAACAAGTTTTATCCAGTGCTTTGTTTTTAATCTGTCCTGCTGACACTGCTGCACAGAAGGAGTAACTAAGGTTGGGATGAAACTCACTAACAGGTCGCAGATTAACTGCAAGTGTTTGCTATGATGAATGACATGAAATCAATTAACAGAAATACTTCAGAATTAGAAAGTACAATAAGAATAAAATAATAATTATTGAAAAAACAAATATAGAAGAAAAGAGGAAGAGAGAAAAGCGAGGACAATTAAGTTTCATGATTTAGTCCAGTTAAATATTGTTTTTCAGAAATTCCTTCAACTTTATTCTACATATTTAATTTTGAATAGATTTAAACTAAAAAGAAAAGAAGTCCTGCTCTTAGTAGCATTGATAATATAAGAATTAAGTCAAACACTATTGATTAATAAAATATGAGTCATCGACTGACTGTTAAGCCCACATGAGAAACAATAAAAGAGAGAGGTTGAGCTTTTTCTTTTGAACAAACTGAATGGATGTATTCGCCTGAATCACTTCTAGAGTGAATCTTTCTATCCACCCATCAGGAGCTACGGAGATTTTATTCCAATACAAAGGGATCATGGAAAGACTTCCATCACAGACCATAATGCTTTTTGTCTCTTCTTCTGCTGGAACATTTGTAACTATGTGTACATTAAAAAAAAAAAAAAACTCCTTCATGAGAGAGAGAGGTTTCACATAAAAGTGATATTATGGTCATTAAACATTTTTGTAATTCAAGTCTGTGGACCTCCTTAGTGTGGTTGTAGAAGCTGCCAGCAGATGGCGATGCACAACAGCGGTGATAGAGACACTGTTTAATCTACAGTACTGTGTCTGTGAAGGTTCTCGGTCATCCAGGTCATCATAGTCTAAGGTGCTCGGAAAAACTCAGGAGTCTTCTCCAAGCACGGCATCCCAATGTACTTCAGACCCAGCAACACACTCAGCCAAAAACTGGTTCATCCCAAAGACAAAATTCCTGAACACAAACTCAA